CTTTTTAGCAGGTCACATTTGTACACTGCGGCTGTCGATGGGGCAAACATGCGTTTTCCGTTGCAATCGACGATACTACTCAATTTCCACATCAGCAGCTTTCGAAACTCATTCAAGCAGTTGTGATGGCCTAGCATGCTACTCAATTCGAAATTAAGTAGAATGCCGAAATATAATGTGGAGCAGAACGAGAAGTGGACCTCTGCCGCGAGGCGAGGGGTCAGTGAAGCAGCTCTCGGCCTCGCACTCTCTCCAGTCGGCCAGGCGTCATGACGACATTTCCGCGTGGAAGTCGCAAAGGCGCGAACGAGCGTCCGAGACCGAGACAGAAGCACGGTAGCCTAACAACAGTGCAGACAGCCTGTCAAGAGAATGGCCGAGGCGTTTGTACCGACGCGGGTTGACTTCGCGAGACAATGAAAGATGACAGTCTGGCAACGACGGAAGGCTAAGGCGCAAAGTGAGAGAGGGAGAGCGACAGAGACCAAGAGAGTGAGAGCATGGAGATACGTGTTGCCCTGTTTGTCGTGTTTCGCAGGCGAGTGGGCGTCGTTTTCTCGCAACGACAGTGGACCGAAACGGCCGCACGCCCCCTCTTGCCCGGTCTGGTCGAGTAGGCGAGGCGGCAAGCGTGGCACACGCGCAGAGGATGAACGATGGTGAAAATGAGGCGAGAAAACGGAGCGTCGACGTGAATCGTTTGTGCCGGCCAATCTGTACTGGCGACATCAGCCGTTGTCAAGTCTATGAGGCTTACAGCGAAGAGAGGAGCAGGCAGGCATGAACACACAAGCACACACATGCTTGCACAATAACGGCGTGTAGGCGAGTGTGAGGTCAACTGAACAGTCAGTGGCAAGATGTGGTAAAGGTAGGGGGCGGAGAAATGAGAAGAGAGCGACGGCGAAAGCGAGTGAACTGTCGAGTGAGCTTCGACTGTGAAGATGTCGTGAACGTGGCAAATCGTGCAAAGGCAAAGACAGGAATGCAGTTAATGAAGATTGCAGAATTAAACGACATTGAATCAAGTGAGCAGGAGTAGAAGTAGTAGTAATGGTAAAAGCAATAGAAGTAGTCGCAGCAGGCGAAAGGTAAGAGAGGAGAGCAGTCACAGTTATAGTAATAGTAATAGTAATAGTA